ATACAGAACACAATTGTTTTCTGTCTCTTGTTTGGGAATCAAATTAGGCAGAACTATGTGCCAAATTCCCTGGCCTGACAGGCCACCACCCTAGCTATGCAGATAGGTAAGATCATCGGGTGGGCTCTCTGCTCAAGAGTTGCTCTAACTGGAGTTGCAAGATGGGATACACAGATTTCTGGAGCTCCAATTAAGTTTCCTTCTCAGATGGGCTGGCAACTGTATTCACCTTTGTGGAGCTTGGTAAATTAGTTTCATGCCCAGTTTTGGCTGCAGAACAAGCCCTTGACTAGAATGCTCTTTCTCTGTGGATCCAATCAGACAGAATTGCAACCTCAGCTTCCTGGCCAGTAAGGACCATCATCTTGGCTCTCTAGATGCAGAGGCATTTGCCGGTGTCTCTGTTCAAGTGTCGCCAACTGGGCCTGCAGGGTGGGCTACCAAGATTTCTGGGAAATCTAGTTAGGGTTTCTTTGTTGGCAGGGTTGGATGGAAGCTGTATTCAGTGATTGGCAGGGCTACAGATTAGCTTCACTCTCTGGGAATATTATGTATTCAACATTAGATATTAAATATATAAATAATATATTTGATATTATTGAACTAATGTTTCTTGCACATGATAATGGTGTAGCGATAATGGTGTAGCGATAATGGTGTAGCGATAATGGTGTAGTGAAAATCCTTATTCTTAGGAACTACATGCTGAAGTGTTTGCTACTTAATCTTAAATAGTCCATAAAAATGAACATTGTATGCCCAGATCTACTTCCATAGACAGATAGATAAAGACATATATAATGTGTCTAACATTAATAGTAGATTAATCTAATTGAAGGATATTGGGGTAGTCTTTGAATTTTAAATTTTCTGTGGGTTGAATTTTTTCATCATAAAAAGTAAGTGGTATTTACCAAAATTATCGACTCCTTAATGTAATTGTATGTAAATTATACCTCAATAAAGTCGATCTAAATTTTTGGAGTATAGTAGCAACAAATAGGTATTTCAAAAAAATTATTTACACAGACTTTAGCTCAGTAAAAAAGAAAGAGAAATCCACTGTTGCCTCTAATCACTTGGCAGAGTGTGGTGTTGCCTCATTTACAAAATCATAATCATCAAATTCCTAGTAAGAGTTATTACGCATTTTGAAATAAACAGTTGAATCCTGATAAGTCCTAGAAGTTTTTTATTGTCACCTCACCAGAGGTCTTCTTGTGTAGGTGGGTCCAGTGGATAAAAATGGAGAAACTTGTTTTACAACTTTTAAACATATCTGAATATACAATCTCAAATGCATAACTTTGAAATCAGCCTCCAAATATTCTCATATAACATAACAAAAGTCAAAAGGAAATACCACAAGGACATGAATAAGAAAACAGAAAAATTATAGATCAGCTTCTTTGATTATAATAATGTGAGTGGATTAAATATCCCTTTTAAAGTGAAAAGATTCTCAGATTCTATGACATTTGTGAGACAGCTTAAACAAAATGGCAGTGTTAAGTATAAAACATTTTTTAAAAAACCATCAAAAATATGCCAGGATTGTCAATCAAAAAGATGATCAAGATGGCATTACCAGCAGATAAAATAAAATTCAGGATACAAAGCCTAAAGTAGAAGAATGAGCATATTTATGTTGAAAGACACAATTCAGGTTAAAGATCCATTTCTAATAATGAACACTTAGTTAACAAGTGAGTTTTGAAGAAACTATAAAAACAAAACCTCTGGATATATTCAGAAGAAAGTAACAAAACCCAAAACTATAGTGGAGCACATTAAAGCATTTTTCTTAGCCTTTAACATATGGAAAAAAATGTTAACATATAAAGATCAAATTATTTATTAACCAGCTGCCAGCTTTACTAAACACTTATTTACCTTTGTATCTTCTGAATGGGTGCCACATATATTCAAATATCTAAAGATGTCTGTAGAAAATAGATGCATCAGTAGTCATTTCTAGGTCACAAAGAAGACAACAATAATTTTGTAAAAGTAAAAACCAATATGCCAAAACTATCATAATATACTAAAACAATAAGGAATAAAAAGAGATAAGGAAAAATAATAGAATGAAAAGTTTTAAATACTACCAATGAATAACTTTTACAATGTGGAAACACAAAACTATAATTATAAGCTGTTTAGAAATTAATGAATTCTATACAATAATTAAAAAACTTGGAGGATAATTATTAATCACAGCAGGCTAGGTTGCACTATGATAAAAAGATCTTTTTAAAAAGTATTTATTACCTTTGTTTTTAACTTAACTTAGTTGAAAATGTACATAATTTAGTAATAGTTGTTTAAAAATTGGATTGAAAATTAAAAAATCAGCTGTAATGAACCAGTACAAGCCTGCTATATCATACTACTGGATCACTATAATGTCTCCTTTTTCATTCCTGATTTTGGTAATTAATGTGGTCCTTTTCTTTTTCTTCGCATTTTTAAAAATTATTTAAATTTTGTTAGTTAACATACAGTGCAATATTGTTTTCTAGAGTAGAATTCAGTAATTCATCATTTACATGTAACACCCAGCGCTCATCACGAGTGCCCTGTTTAATACCCATCATCCATCTAGCACATCCTCCACCCACCCTCTCCATCAACCCTCAGTTTTTTCTCTATCATTTTTTTTTTCCTGGAGAGAGAACATGAGAGGCAGCACGAGCTGGGGGAGGGTCAGAGGGAGAAGAAGAAGCAGGATGAGCAGGGAACCTGATGCGTGGTCAATCCCATAACCCTGGGATCATGAACTGAGCTGAAGGCAGACACTTAACCAACTGAGCTACCCAGGTGCCCCTTGTTCTCTATTATTAAGAGTCACTTATGTATTGTTTCCCTCTTTCCTTTTTTTTTCTTTTCCCCCTTCCCGTATGTTCATCTGTTTTCTTTCTTAAATTCCACATATGAGTCAGATCATATGGTATTCGTCTTTCTCTGACTGACTTATTTCACTTAGCATAAATACACTCTAGCTCTAAAATACGGATTTGAAGGGGCACCTGCTCCCCAATGTTTATAGCAGCATTATCAGCAATAGCCAAACTATGGAAAGAGCCCAAATGTCTGTCAACTGCTAAATGGACATCCAAAACATGTGGTATATGTATTCCATGGAATATTATTCAGACATCCAAAATAAAAAAACAAAATCTTAATGGCTAAATACTGTTTATTTTTTGTTCATGTGACGTCAGCCATAGATCTGGGTGACTCTCCAGGCAGCTGTCTTCCATGTGTTGACTCAGCATTCCAAATGCTTAGAATTTTTGGTATTTCTATATTGATAGGTTTTTGTCCCCAGATTCCAAGCCAATAGAAGAGCAGACTAGATAGACATGAGCCACAGTAGAGAAATACTTTCTCTCAGAAGTGACATTTATCACTGTCCTCATTTCATTGTCCAAAGTGAATACACTGGCCATGCTTATATTTAAAAAGGAAGGGCTCCTGAACTAGAATAAAGCTGAATATTGCTAAATAGGGAGAATGCCTACCACAAAGAATAGTATAAAAACTAAGTTCTAAAACTGTAAAACAAGATGAATATGAGAACAGGCAACAATTAATAAGGCATAAGTTGATAAACAGAAACATTAAGTAAATTTAAAAGCTGGTTGTTGAAAAGAAAAATAAATGTGTAGATAGTATAATTAAGCAAAAAGAACAAAAACATGTTATGATGTTAGAAAAGATTAACATGGTATAACTGTGACCTTGGAGAAGATTAAAACAAGCAAATTTAAAGAATTCTCCAAAGGAGATAAGAATTTAAGTCAAATCATCATGTTGTATACCTTAAACTTACACAATGTTATATATAAATTATATCACAGAAAGCTGAAAAAAAAAGAATTTTAATAGATCCAGTTGCCTGTGTTAGGTATAGATAGTTTTAAAGGAAAGTTTTTAAGTGTTTTGGAAGACATAATTCATATACTAATACGATTTTAGAGTGTAGGAAAAAAATGCAACTTAATTCTAAGTAGTGCTCTAATATTTACTAAGCAACATTCATTTGCTCAATTATGACAAAGTGTGTGCACGTATACAAACACATGAGCAATGAGTCCATATTAAAGCTATAAACTCCTAAACAAAATATTATATTAATTTTGATAGTATATTAATAGAATGTAATGTTTTAGTCAAGGAATATGATGGTTTAGTGTTAAGTAATGTATTAATGAAATGTATTGCATCAATAGGTCAAAAGACAAAAGCCATTGTCAATCACTATCAAAATGGCTATTGATAAAAATTCAACTCCATTTTTTATAAAAATTTTAGTAAATAAGTAAATAAGAAGATTTACAAACAGTTTTTTCTCAACATGATATAGAATACTCATCTTAAACTGAACAACACTTAATGATGAAATATTTGAGGTTTTCTAGTGAAAAATCCAGAGCAAAGCTCACATACCTATGTCATTGTTGTTTCAATTGTCTTGGCATTTTAAAGCAGTTAGACATAGAAAGAGTTTATTGGAATAAAGAAAAAATTAGAACATGAGTTACATGGTGATGTGAAAGAATATACCAAAGCAGTATCCAGAGTCATTTTAAGAGTGAACCTCTCGTTAAGGATTTTCCCGCTCATTGTGCTTATATGTTTTGATTTGTGATTATATGTTGTTATTTTAGAAATAAGTGCATTTTAAAATACCACATTAAAAAATTTATGATTAAATTTTTATAAACAATAAGTAATGCCACAAGTTGAGTGCATTAAACATTAAAATCGTGTTATTAAATATTTTTATTTACTTCTTATATACATCAAGATAAAAAATTGCGTTTATTCATTAATTTTTATAAATCATTATTTATACATCATTATTGATTTCCTGAATTTCACCTGGACTGTAGCCCTATGGCTACTTTAGAATACAGCACATTATACATGTAATGGGTATGTAATATATTCTTGATGGCATCCACTAGTTTCTAAAAATAATTTATCCTTTTCAGTTTGATTACATGGGCTCTGATATAAAGGCTGTAACACAGAAGGTTATTCAGATAATTGGCTTTGTTAACACCGTAAGTTTTTAAAAACTATTTTGTATATATATTTTGTAAAAGTATAGGTAATATGTATTGATGTGTATAGCATTTTGCTGTGCTGTTAAAATTCTCATAATCAAAATACTGAATTAAATATATGCGTTTTTATGGAAGTTTAATATAATGTTCAAATTTATTTAAAACTTATTATTATGTTTTTTAGATGTTTTCCCAGTTAAAACTGACAGTTGTAATATCTTCCATAGAAATCTGGTCAAATAAAAACAAAATTTCTACTACAGGGAATCCTAATAATATATTATCTAGATTTTTAGAATGGAAATACAAACATATCTTCCGACCTCATCAGGTTGCATACTTATTTGCGTGAGTACAGTATTCCATATTTGTGTAGCATTAAAGGAATAACCCAAGATGATTTCATATGTTAATTATGAAAAATAAGCATTTAACAAATAAATACTGTGTTCTATAAATTTGATAGACACCACGGGATGGGAAAAACATGTAAATTAAAAGTCCTTGTCCTGAAGGAGCTAATGTTGGTCGATACTTAAAAACTTTTATCAACTGACATGAAATTACCTGATATAAGTAAAATTACATAAAAGTACTGAAATAACTAAGGAGATTAATTTTGAGTGATATAATTTTTTTGATGTCCTTTGGCTTATAAAGTTATACTGCTTGCTTCCTCTACATTCTTGTCCTTCATCTGATTTTTTAATAACATGAATATATTGAAATGTTACATGATCTAGAATCTAATGCACAGAAAAATCTATTCATCTTTAATGAACAAGTGAATAAAAGGATCACAGAAAATTTAATTTTTAGGGCTATAAATGTACAGGGAACCAGAATAAAAACTATAAACATTAGTGCAATAGCCTTTTGCATGAATTATTAGACCTTATCCTTATTATACTTCCAGATGTTTATTAAATTTAAAACTTATAAAATATTGAAATACTCTTAACATTGGTGGTTTGAGAAAAATGTATTTAAATAGTTTAATTCAGAGTAGCATAAGGCTTAGGACAGTAGTTGTTCAATAATGTTCATTGCTATGAAAATGATTGTCATTAATTATATCACTCATATGCAATTCTGAGGAAAATTATTATTTTTTAGCTTCAAGAAATATCCTAGTTTTTTAGGAGCCACATTTCCTGGAAAAATATGTAATAAAAATTTGGCTGTAGGAGTCGTTCTGGTATGTAATTGTTTTCCAGTTCCTCATTATTTCCATGTTTTAAAATTTCCTAAATATTGTAGAGCATGAATAAATATATTACTTAGTCTATTCATCCTTTAATAGTTTTTCATATTACTAATTTGGAGCATAAATATTAAACTGTATGTAATTGCTTTTAAGAATAGAACATTTAGGGGCTCCTGGATGACTCAGTCCATTAAGGGTCCAACTCTTGATTTTGGCTTAGGTCATGATCTCAGGGTTGTGAAATCGAGCCCCGCATTGGGCTCCATGCTCAGAGGGGAGTCTGCTTGAGATTCTCTCTCTCCATCTCCATCTGCCCCTCCCCTCCTCTCTCTCTCAAATAAATAATCTTAAAAAAGGAAAAAATTTGTAAATTGAACTGATCATAGTGCCATATTGTTTTTAAAAACATATTTGACCCAAGTAAAAATTTAATTGTTTTGAGCAGTGACATGCTTGCATCAATATTTATTAATTTTAATGTTTTAAATGTTTAAAATGTTTAAAGTAATTTTAATGCTAATTATTAAACATATCAGCTTTTCTCCCAACATTAATAACTGGTGTAAATTCATGTCCTTTTTTATTATGTGACTGTTATTTTTTCTATTTTAAGGTAATTATTTTATTATTGCATTCAATTCTTTATTTTATGTTTTGGATGAGCAGACTGTTGGAGGAAGAAATAGCCATTAAATATTCATAATTACTGTTTTCTGGCAAAAGTGAGAATGAACTCCTACTACATACTCATTTTTACAACAATTTGTATAAAAACTAGGGAAAGGAACGGAGAGTACTTCAGAAAAAGAAGTCTGCACTTTTATGCTGAGTCGAGTACAGTTGGTTGTGTTTTAGTAGTATGTACAATGAAGCAAATTGTTATTGACAGATTAGATATTTAAAATCAGTTCTGTTATGTACTTCTTATCATTCCTATAAACCACGTATTGATTAATTAGATAAATCCAAAACCAGTTCTGGGGGTTGTTACCATGGTGAGAGAATAATCAGACATTTCATAGGGATTTGTCTTTATTATCAGTCCCTGCTTTTGGTCTTCCCTCAGCCAAAGCTTGAGGAGTGTCCATCAGAAATCGTCCAGGTCTTCATCATTGTTAATTCTTGAAAACAATGTTTCATTGCCGGGACTAATTTTTAGATCACGCCGTGTGTGTGTGTGTGTGTGTGTGTGTGTGTGTATAAAGCAAATAAAGCAGGTGATAAGAATTATTGAATATAAGTGGTTAGTATAAGTGTTTTCCTGAAGCCATCTTTAAGACTGATTTTGATTGGAATTTTTATAATAGAAATTTGTAAATATAAAAGATAAATATGTGAGTTAAGCAAGAATACTGTAAAAATATCAGTATAAAATTAAAATATAAATGTAAAAATAAATTATTTTTGTTTATACCAACAACAGTTTGAAGATTAGATTTCAGAAAAGTAGCTACCAATCATAATATTCTAAAAGTTTTTTTTAAGTGAAGAATTGAAAAAAATTAAAATTAAGAATTACTTCCTTGAATATGATGGCTTTATTAAATGTCTTGAAATCAGGATAGTTGAAGTCCTCCAACTTTGTTCTTTGTTAATACTATGTTGTCTATATAAACTTTACATTCTCATATAGATTTTAAAATCAACTTTCCTGTTTACACACAGACACACACATACAGACACAGAGGCTTACTTAGATTTTGATAGGGATGGTGTGTAATTTATGAATGAATTAGGGGAAATTTGTTATAACAACATTGGATCTTCCAGTGTCCACTAACATGGTTTATCTCTCCATTTACTGATGCCTTTAAAAAATTCTTTGTAGAGCTTTCACATCTCCTGCTAAATTTATTCATAGCTATTTTTTATATCCTGATGCTGTGGTAACTGGTATTGATTGTTTAAATTCATCTTCCAATTTTTCACTATTAGTGTATACATATGTAGTCTCTTTTTTTATATTTTTGTACATAAACCTTGATGAATTTATATATGAGATCTATTGTTTTTCCAGCTTTAATGAGATATAATTGACATATAACATTGTTTAAGACGTACAGCATAATGATTTGATATATGTGTATGTTGTGAAATGTTTTCACAGTTAGGTTAGTGAACACATCCATCATCTCACACAGTTGCCATTTGTGTATGTGTGTGTGTGTGTGTGTGTGATAAGAACCTTTAAGATCACTCTCTTAGCAACTTTCAAATATACAATGCAGTATTGTTAACTATAGTCATTATGCTGTACATTGCATCCTCAGAAACTAGCAGTTTATACTCTTTAACCATTTTCACTTATTCCCACCCCTAGCAACCAGCAGTCTGTTCTCTGTTTCTCAGAGTTTGGTTGTGTTAGACTCCACATATAAGTGAGATCATATAGTATTTGTCCTTATAGTCTGACTATTTGACTTAGTGTAATGCCCTCAAGATTCACCCATGTTGTCACAAATGAGGGGATTTCCTTTTTTTTTAATGACTGAATAATATATATTATTCAGTCATAAATATGTATATATAAATATATATATAAAAATATATATATATCACAATTTCTTTATCCATTCATCTGTCAGTGGACACTTAGGTTGTTATCATATCTTGGCTATTGTGAGTAGGGCTGCAATGAACATGGGGTACAAATATCTCCTGAGACAGAGGTTTTATTTTTTCCAGATATATATACCCAGAAGTGGAATTGATGATTCATATGATAGCTTTATTTTTAATTTTTTCAGGAATCTCCATACTGTTTTCCATAGTGGTGGTACCAATTTACATACTTATCAGCAGTGTACAAGGGTTCCATTTTCTCCACCAGCATTTATTATCTCTTGTCTCTTTGATAATAGTCATTCTAATAGGTGTGAGGTAATATCACTTGTGGTTTTGATTTGTAATTCCCTGATGATTAGTGATGCTGAGCATGTATCTTTCCATATACCTGTTGTCCATTTGGATATCCTCTTTGGAGAAATCTCTATTCAGGTCCTTTGACCATTTCTCTCTTTTTTTTAAGGTTTTATTTATTTATTTGAGGGGGCGTGGGGACGAGCGGAGGGAGAGGACCAAGCGGACTCCACACTGAGCACAGAGCCCAACATGGAGCCTGATCTCACAACCCTGAGATCATGACCTGAGCTGAAATCAAGAGTTCAATGCCCAACTGACTAAGCCACCTAGGCACTCCCCTTTGACCATTTCTTAATCAGTTATGAGTTCCTAATATATTAAGAATTCTTACTTGGGTTTTGGTAGTGAGTTGTATGAGTTTCTAATGTATTTTGGATATTAACCCCTTATTAGATCTATAGTTTGAAAATATTTTTCCCTAATCTCTAAGTTGCCTTTTCATTTTATTGATGGATTCTTTTGTTGTACAGAATCTTTTATATTAATGAAGCTTTTGTTGTTTGTGGTTTTGGTGTCATATCCATAAGATCATTACCAAGACCAGTGTCAAGGAGATTTTTTTCACTATGTTTTCTTCTAAGTTTTATGATTTCACTTCTTACATTTAAATATTTAGTTCATTTTGAGTTAATTTTTGTAAGTGGTGTGAGATACGGGTCCAGTTTCATTATTTGCTTATTTCCAATACTATGTTAAATAAAAGTAGTAGGAGTGGGATCCTTGTCTTGTTTGTGCTCTTAGAGGAAAAGCTTTCAGTCTTTCACCTTTGAGCATGATATTTGTGGGCTTGTCAAATATGGCCTTTATTATATTAAGGTATGTTCCCTCTATACCCACTTTGTTGGAGATTTTAATCATAAATGGATGTTGAATTTTGTCTATTTTCTATTCGTTGTCCCTAGTTTCTTGCTTCTTTTTTAAATCTTCCCCATTTTTTTTTTTTTGCCTTCTGTGGTTTTAATTGTATATCTCATAGAATTCCATTTCCTCTCCTCTCTTAGCACATCAATTATATTTTTAAAAAAGCTCCTTAAGCAGTTGTCCTAGAGTTCATAGTATACATTTACAACTAATTTGGTTGTAGTCTAGTTTGAATTAACTAGACTAAACTAACTGAACTAAAGTAGAACTAATCTAGTTTATTTTCATTGGGTATTAGAAAACATACAGACATGGTAATAACTGTCATGCGGGAAGAAGTTTAACATACAGTTCCCTAGAAACAGAAGGCATGCCATGCAGGGGACATATGGGGGGCCATATGAGGGTTGTTCAGGCAGCGTAGGGAACATGGGGGAAATGTGGACAAGAGCCTCTGTTGCTTCTTTAGGGAGCAATGGGTAAGGCAAAGTAAGCAGTCTTAGGATTGGCTAGTTTGAATAATTTCGGCAGGCTTTCTTGCATAGAGGCTGTGCCTAGTTTTCTGGTACCTGTCTCTGATGTGATTTTGGCAGGTGGAGAGTGGCTTAGAGTATGTGAGCCTGATAAAGGGGTGGTATGGCATATGGGCTCTAGGTTGACTGGTTTGCATTTGAAAGGCACACTTGTGGGTAAGTTGTTAACTATCTTAATTGGGTAACTCTGAGAGGGACAGACTAGCATTGGAAAGGCCCCAGATATCAAAGCATCACAATACAGAAAATCAAAGGCATTTTTAATACAGTTAGCACATTAATACAATTTGTTTCATATTACCAAATTTTAGGGGTAATAAAAGAGGAGACTTTTACAGAATAGGGCATAAGTTGTGCTAAAAAGCCTAGAAAATATTTTATTATGAAAGTAAAAGGGAGAAACATAGGTAGAAGTATAAGGAATCCTTGTAGGATTTAGTAGCATAACTAAATTAAATCACCTCATATATAATGAGTCTTTGTATACACGAAGGCAAGACACATCATGGATCATGGATACCCTCTCTGAACTGTTCTTTACTTGCCACCTGCTTACAGTGCTCTACCCTGGGTCATCAGGAACCTATCACTTTTTTTAAGACTTATTTTTTAAAAAGAGTTTTAGGTTCACCACAAAACTGAGGGGAAGGTACACAGATTACCCAGATACTACCTGCCCCCACACATGCACAGTCTCCCCCATTATCCACATCCCTCACCAGAATGGTATATGTTTTACTAAGAATGAACCTGCATTGACCCATCAAAATCACCCATAGTCCATTGTTTACCTTAGGGCTCAATCTTGGTGTTGTACATGGGTTTGGACAAAAGATGATAGGCATCTATCATCATGGTAGTATTATATGAAGTGTTTTCACTGCCCTAAAAATCCTCTGTGTTCTGCCTATTAATTTCTCCCCTCCCTGCCTGCAACTGCAGACCTTTTTACTGTCTCCACAATTTTGTTTTTTTCTGGAATCTCATGTAGTTGGAATCATACAGTTTGCAGCTTTGCCCTTTTCACTTAGTGATATGCACTCAAGCTTTCTCCATTTCTTTTCATGACTTCATAGCTCATTTCTTTTTAGTGCTGAATAATATTCCATTGTCTGAAATATGCCACAGTTTATTTATCTGTTCACCTATTGAAGGACATTGTGGTTGCTTGTGAGTTTTGGGAATTATGAATGAAGATTCTGTAAACATCTGTATAGAAATTGAAAATGATCCAAAGGAGAACAGTAATACCTACTGAGGGTTATTAATTTTCTGTTGCTATGTAACAAATTATACCAAAACTTAGCAGATGAAAACAATACAGTTCTGTGGGTCAAGAATCTAAGTGGTGAAGTCAAGGTGTCCAGTAAGGCTGTCATTATCTCAGGGTTCAACATGGAGAGATTTTGCTTCCAGACTTAGTCATTTGGCTGTGGCAGACCTCATAAAATCTGTTTCCAAACTCGTGCATGTGGGCCTCTCTTCAGGCTTACTTCATGACATTGTAGCTGGCTTCACCTAGAGAGATTGAGTGAGACATAGAATCCAAGAAGTCAGTCTTTCATTTTTTCTTTTAATTTTTTTCTTCTACCACATCCTACAGGAAACCAAGAAGTCAGTCTTTTTATAATCTATCTTAGAAATGATGGCCATTTGTTTTGCTACATTTAGTTAATAGAAGCAAGTCAATAAGTTCATCCTATACACAACGGAGTAGGAATACACAAGAACATGGATGCCAGGAGGCAGATATCATTGGGACCCATGTTAGAGGCTGCCTACTACAAAGAGAATGTAAAATTGACTATTAAAATAAAAGATTAAAGTCATTTTGTTTAAAATAACTCAAAGAAACAATACAGTATGATGTTTGAGACTCTATTAGCTAAGGTAACTGGTATTGTCATTAAGTATTAGTATTTTGAAATTAAACTATTGTGTTCACTCATCCATATTTAATAAGTCTATGATCCACATGCTCATATAATTCTACTACAGTTGCATTTACATAGGCATCTTGGATGCATTGATTTTAAAAATGAGTTTTATGTACTAATAATATTATTTAGCATAGTATACACTAATTTTTTATTATAGTAAATTTATCATAGTATACTATAGGATTCTTAGCTAATTTTTTTCTTTTTCCTTATATTTAGTATCCAGAGGGTTTATCCTTGGAGTCATACACTGTCAGTGTTGTGCAGTTGCTTGGCTTTAATCTGGGATTGAGTTATGATGATCCTGATACTTGCTATTGTTCAGGAGATGTTTGCACAATGTCACCTAAAGCAGTGTAAGATAATTTTCTTTATTGTACATATTCCTTTAAAAAGTTTTTTTTTTTTTTTTTTTGGTTAGGAACTTTTATACTTCTATTAACCAAACAGAAGTAATTAACAATTATAGAACTCTATACCCAACAACTACAGAATGCATTCTTTTCAAGTACAATGGAACATGCACCAAAATAGGCCCAACCCTCTCCCAGGTCTCTCCATGCCTGGTGAAACTCTCTTCCTCATTCCTACATTCTGGAGTCTGGCTTCTATTTTTCTCCCCTTGCCACTTCGAAAGAACCCTCTAGGGGAAAAACCATATGAACTGTGTAATTTCAGTGACTTTGCATAAAGCTAAAGGCTTTGATATTTGAATTTAAAACTGGCATTGTACAATATAATGAACAGTATAATTCATATTAATAATTAATAATTTTTTTATTTAGAAAGACATTAAATTGTAAATAAATAACACCATGACCCTTTGAGAAAGAGACTGCTGAAGAAAGGAAAAAAGTCTTATTTTAGTGCCATTAGTAATACAATTTCCCTGCTTTATAAATAGAGGGCCTACATTTCCATTTTGCTTGGGTTCCCCCAAATTATGTGGCCAGTGCTGGTTATCCACACCAAGACTTGGTGTGCTCAGTATGTTCAATCTGAATCACTTTAGTTGGCATGTAGTGTAACTTTATATTGGTTTTAATCTGCAATTCCCTCTAAGCTAATGATATTGAATGGTGTTGAACATATTTTCCTGCTTAATAGCTTTGTATATCTTCTTTGAAGAAGATCCTATTAAAAAATTTTGTCCATTCTAAAAAATGAAAAAGATTTTCACAGTTTTACTGAGTTGTAAGAATTGTTTATATATTCTGGCTATGAGTTCTTTATCAGATATATGATATTCAAATATTTCTTCCTTATAGTGCCTTTTTAAAGAAAAAGTTTTAATTTTGATGAAGTATAATTTATCAACTTTTTATATGTCTTTATTAATTTGGGTTTTCTTTAATTTTTCTCAGCAATATATTGTTTTTTACAGTTTACATTTCTTGTACTTGTTTTGTTAGATTTATCCTTAAATATATTTTTTATTATTATGAATAGCATTGTTTTCTTAATTTCATTTTCAGATTTTTCATTGCTAGTTCATTTTATGTACTGCCAATCCAGTGGAAGTCTTTTCTGGTAGGCAGGTTACTATCACTGGGTTCCCCTGTCAGTATTAGTCTGGCCTAATACCTAACCAATACTGGGGTTTCCTCTTAGATGGGTATGAGGTACAGCTAGGACAGTATAGGTTCACTTACAACCTCTCTGCTGTTTTCCTGTGATCCAGCTGTGTAATTTCTGGCCAGGGGTTTCAGGCTTTAAATAATTTGTAAGTATTTAGTTTCTACACAACTTTATCATATGCCAAGAATTTAAAAATCACATTCTCTGTTCAAGCTGTTGATGCTGGGATCCATATTTAATTTTATAAGCTTTTTCTTGTTTTAGATTTGTTTTGAGTTTTGGCTCATGAATTTTGTTTGTTGATAAGAAGTATAAGAGTGGAGTGTTAATAAATTTCAGTTTAAAACGTTCTGTAATGTCAAGAATTTAAAAATTAAGGGGCACCTGAGTGGCTCAGTTGGTTAAGCATCTGACTCTTGATTTTGGCTCAGGTCATGATCTCAGGATTGTGAGATTGACCCTGGTCCTATTCCACATTGGGTGTGGAGCCTGCTTAAGGTTCTCTCTCTCTGGGGGAAGGTGTTAGGGTATGTGTGGGGGGGAGGAGTTAAGATGGCAGAGGAGTAGGGGGACCCTGAGATTGTCTTGTCCCTCAAACACAACTAGATAGTTACCAAATCATTCTGAACACCCAAGAAATCAATCGGAGTTCTGAGAGAAAAAATCTGTAAGTCTATAAGTAGAAAAGTGACCACCTTCTGGAAGGTCTCTAAGTTCACTTGGGGGTAGATATAGCTGTGGATCCAGCAGTGGAAGGAGCCCAATTATGGCTGCTATTTCAAGGTATTGGAAGATGCAGAGCACAAAATCTGAACCTTTGGAAGTTTGCTACTATCTGGAACGTACCTGGCTTAAAGGTACTCAGGTTGTGAAGACGGGTGGAATACCAGGAGTGACAGTGTGGTCTGAGGATCCCCTGGGTCACAGGAAGAATGGGTGGTGCCAAGGTGATGTGCTGTTTTCAGGCATGGGACCCAGGAAGCCAGAGGAGAGCAGTTGGTCTTCATGCTGACTTTCTGCTATAAACTGAACTTCCTTATGGTCATATAACCGCTTTCCTGGATGGCTGGCAAGCATGGTGAGACCCTCTCCAAGAGGAACAGTGCAGGTCCACACCACAGGAGTCCCTGAAATTTGGAGTTTTGAAACTCAGTTGCGTGCCTGAGATAAAACGGCTCGGACATGGACAAGGTGAACATAGAGTTCAGATGGAAACAGAGGACACAAGTAGGGTGACTTATTGCTCTTCTGTGAGGGTTCACTGAAGAGTAAGGGGTGCGAACATTTCATCCTGACCATCAGTGCTGAAAGCCTTCAGGGAACAAAACAGCACCACCTAGTGAAGGCCATGACCACAAACACCTACTCCTGCAGCCCCTTTGTGCCCTGGAGACACATTCCCACAAAAAAGTCAGCCTGAGAATCAGCACAGCAGACCTCTCCCCCAGAAGACCAGCACAAATAACTAGCTGGCACCAAGATTACTAATCATAGGTGCCACAAGATTTAGCTCTAGGGGAAATAGGTTGTAGCTTCCTTTTTACTTTTATTCTTTTATTATTATTGTTGTTGTTATTTTCATTTATTATATTTTCCAATTCCTTTTAAAATCTTATTTTTTAATTTTTATTTTTACATATATATGTGTGTATGTATATCTATCTATCTATAAATTTTTGTTTATTTTTATTTTATTTTATCTTATTTTTTTATTTTGGGACATAGATTGTTTAACAAGCAGACCAAAACACACCCAGTATTTAGTTTTTTTTGGTTTTCTTCTTTTTTTCCCCATTTTTCTTTGTTTTACTTTGTTGTGGTTGTTTGTTTTTCCTTTCTTTCTTTCTTTCTTTCTTTCTTTTTTTTTCTGGACAAAATGATGAGATGTAGGAATTCACCCCAAAAGAAAGAACATGAGATAGAACTCATGGCCAGGGATTTAATCAATATAGATATAAGATGTTTGAACTAGAATTCAAAACAACAATTATAAGGATACTAGCTGGGCTTGAAAAAAGCATAGAAGACACTAGAGAATCCTTACTATAGAGATAAAAGAACTAAAATCTAGACAGGCCAAAATTAAAAATGCTATAAACCAAGATGCAATTCCCAAGTGGAGGCCATAAACACAAGGATGGACGAAACAGAAGAGTGAATCAGTGATGTAGAAGATAAAATTATGGAAAATAATGAAGCTGAAAAGAAGAGGGAGAGAAAACTATTAGATCATGAAGGTAGACTTAGGGAGCTCAGCAATTTCATAAAGTGAAATGATATCCATATCATAGGAGTACCAAAAGAAGAAAAGGGACAGAAGGTTTATTTGAACAAATTATAGCTGAGAACTTCCCTGATCTGGGAAGGAAACAGGCATTCAAGTCTAAGAGGCACAGAGAACTCCTCACAAAATAAACAAAAACATGTCATTACCATGACATATCATAGTGAAACTTGTAAAACCCAAAAGACTCCATCCAGAAATTGCTAGAACCCATACAGGAATTCAGCAAAGTGGCAGGATATAAAATCAATGCACAGAAATCACTTGCATTTCAATACACTAAGAATGAGTCAGAAGAATGAGAAATCAATCAAATTGATCCCATTTACAATTGCTCTGAAAACTATAAGATACCTAGGAATAAACCTAACCAAAGAGGTAAAGGATCTGTACTCTGAAAACCATAAAACTCTTATGAAAGAAATTGAGGAAGACACACAAAAAAATGGAAAAAGATTCCATGCTCATGGATTGGAAGAACAAATATTGTTAAAATGTCTATACTACCCAAAGCAATCTACACATTCAATGCAATCCCTATCAAAATAAAACCAGCATTTTTCACAGAGCTGGAACAAACAATCCCAAAATTTGTATACAACCAGAAAAGACACTGAACAACCAAAGTAATATTGAAAAAGAAATGCACAGCTGGAGGCATGACAATTCCAGACTTCAAGCTGTATTACAAAGCTGCAATCATCAAGACAGTATGGTACTGGCAAGAAAACAGACACATAGATCAATAGAACAGAATAGAGAGCCCAGAAATGGACCCTCAACTCTATGGTCAACTAATCTCTGACAAAGCAGGAAAAAAATATCCAATGGAAAAAAGACAGTCTCTTCAATAAATGGTGCTTGGAAAATTGGACAGCCAAATGCAGAAGTATGATACTGGCACAAAATAGACACATAGGTCAATGGAAGAGAATAGAGAACCCAGAAATAGACCCTCAACTCTATGGGCAACTAGTCTTTGACAAAGCAGGAAAAAATATCCAATGGAAAGAAGACAGTCTCTTCAACAAATGGTGTTGGGAAAATTGGATAGGCACATGCAGAAGTGAAACTGGACCATTTTCTTACACAGTACACAAAAATAGACTCAAAATGGATAAAAGACCTACATGTGAGATAGGAATCCATCAAGATCCTAGAGGAGAACACAGGCAGCAACCTCTTTAACCTTGGCTGCAGCAACTTCTTGATAGACACGTCTCCAAAGGCAAGGGAAACAAAAGCAAAATTGAGCTATTGGGACATCATCAAGATAAAAGCTTTTGCACGTCAAAGGAAACAGTTGACAAAACTAAAAGGCAACCTACCAAATGGAAGAAGATATTTGCAAATGTCTTATAAGATAAAGGGCTAGTATCCAAAGTCTATAAGGAACTTATCAAACAACACCCCAAAAACAAAAAATCCAGTCAAGAAATGGGCAGAAGTTATGAACAGGCATTTCTCCAAAGAAGACATAGAAATGGCCAACAGACACGTGAAAAAGTGCTCAACATGACTCGACATCAGGGAAATACAAATCAAAACCACAACAAGATACCACTTCAAACCTGTCAGAATGGCTAAAATTAACAACTCAGGAAACAACAGATGTGGGTAAGGATGCAGGGAAAGGGGAACCCTCTTACACTGTTGGTGGGAATGCAAACTGGTGCAGCCACTCTGGAAGGCAGTATGGAGGTTTCTCAAAACACTAAAAATAGAACTACCCTACTACCCAGCAATTGCACTACTAGGTATTTATCAAAAGGATATAAAAATAGTGATTTGAAGGGGCACATGCACCCCAATGTTTATAGCAGCAATGTCCACAATAGCCAAAATATGGAAAAAGCCCAGATGTCCATCAATAGATGAATGGATAAAGAAGTTGTTGTATATATATGGTGGAATATTACTCAGCCATCAGAAAGAATGAAATCTTGCCATTTGTGAAGATGTGGATGGAACTAGAGGGTATTAGGCTAAGCAAAATATGTCAGTCAGAGAAAGACAAATATCATATGATTTCACTCAGATGTGGAATTTAAGAAACAAAACAGATGAACATAGGGGAAGGAAAGGAAAAATAAAATAACATAAAAAGAGAGGGGCAAACCATAAGAGACACATATCTGTAGAGAACAAACTGAAGGTTTCTGGAGGGGCGCTGGGTGGGAGGATGGGGTAACTGGGTGATGGACATTAAGGAGGGCACTTGATGTTATATGCACTGGGTGTTATATGCAACAGATGAATTACTAAATTCTAACCCTGAAACAACACACTACATGTTAAGTAACTTGAATTTAAATTTAAAAAATCATATGAAAAAATGATTCTCTCTCTCCTCTCTCTGCCCCTCCCCTGCTTTCTTTCTCTTAGGAAAAAAAGAATTTAAGAATTAAAAAATGGATTGGTTAAAAAATACATGAAAGCATAATTCATAGTTCATGAAAGTATGTTTATAGCAGCAATGTCCAACATTTTTGTATACTAACTTTTTGTGGTACAAACTTGCTAAACTCACTAGAATTTTCAGATTTTATTTGTTGATTCCTTAAGAATTTCTATAAACAGGGCGCCTGGGTGGCTCAGTCGTTAAGCATCTGCCTTCGGCTCAGGTCATGATCCCAGAGTCCTGGGATCGAGTCCCACATGGGGCTCCCTGCTCGGCGGGAAGCCTGCTTCTCCCTCTCCCACTCCCCCTGTTTGTGTCCCTGCTCTCGCTGTCTCTCTCTCTCTGTCAAATAAATGAAATCTTAAAAAAAAATAAATAAATAAAATTGGAATGTCCTTAAAAAAAAAATTTCTATAAAAAAAATTTTGTCATCCATGAAGAACAATTTTATTTTTTCCTTTTCATCTATTTGTATGTAATTCCTTTTTCTTGCTAACTGAATTTGAAATATTTCAATCCAATTGTATTGATGTGGTTGAGAGTGTTCTTTACCTTGTTCTCAATCTTAAGGGAAAAGCATTCAGTTTTTCATGATAAGTATGATGTTAACTATAGTTTTTTTCTTTAATAAAGGTCTTCTCTTCCGAAGTAGTAACTTTTATTCCCTTGTATATTATGTTGGTTTTTCCCATCATTTTACCATTCCACTTGTTTCATATATTTTTTTCCTGATGTTCATGGTTTTTTGCTCCTAAAGGGCACTTGGTCTACTTTTTACTACATACCTGTTGCCTAGGAGAATGCTCAGTAAATATGTTGCAAACAGTGAATAAATCAGCTCAGTATATTTTCTCATTATTTTATTTTATCCTTTGATTACTGATTCTATTTCTTTGCTCGTTATGGGTCTGTTCAGGTTTTCTATTTCTTCCTGTTTCAGTTTTGGTAGTTTATATATTTCTAGGAATGTATCCATTTCTTCCATACTGCCTAATTTCTTGGCATATGATTGCTCATAATATTCTCTTCTAATTATTTGTATTTCTTCAGTGTCAAACAACAGGTTTTTATTTCAAATGTTCAATTATGTTGAGCAAAAGCTCTAAAATGTACTATTAAAATTAATACAAAGATGTTTATATTGTCATTAAAAGAATTTTATTATATTAAAAAATAAAAAATATGTTAATACTGAGGATTAAAACTTAAAATTCAATTGTTTGGCATTGGGAAAGTAAAACAATGAACAGTTTTTATGTTTTAAGATTTAATAAAGTTCATAAGATAAATAATAGGTCTTGTTTAAAACAGGATGGAATGCAATAAAAAGATTTTGGATTTTTTTTATTACAAGAATTTTCTTGGTGAAATTTAAAAAGTATGGTAAAACATTAGTATGTTTTGCAATGCAATGAATATTTTTTTAAATGTGCTTATTTTTTTCCATAATGCTTTTTAAACCTCTTTTCAAAACAACATACATTAGTGGAAATACAGCCATATACAGCAATAATTTTTGTCATATCCATTTTTTTAAATATTTTAGGCAGTCTGGGGGTGTAAAGGAGTTTAGCACCTGTAGTTTGGATGACTTTAAATACTTAGCTTCACATTCTGGCTTTGAATGTCTTCAGAACATCCTTCCTGAAATGCCAGTTTATAAACAAAGAGAGAGGAGGGTATGTGGCAATGGTAAATTGGAAAAAGGTGAACAGTGTGATTGTGGCCCTGCAGAGGTTAGTAGAAATTTTTTCAATTTAAAAAAAAATTTCCTATATATATGTGTATATAGGTAAAAAATATGTGTATATATGTGTTTAATAGGTAAAAAAGAAGATGAAGGCCTTGTCTTTTAGAAAAATAAATTTGAAAAAGACCTACTTTGGGGAAGATAGAAGCCTTTAAGTTTCCTAATTTTGCTATTTTTTTTGAAGTAGACAGCAAAAGCCTTTTAGATAAGTTTTACCTTCATAGATTGCCTTCTGACATTCTTTAGTGTATCTGTCAACTCAAACTCATAATTAGTTACCACAAAGGTTGTCTAAGGAGTTGAAGAAATATACCTTTAACAACAAGCAGTAACAAAATCAGACAAAAACAGACAGGAAAATCTAAAGGCAATAGACTGTTACCAGTGGAATAGCAAAATGCATTGTTTGCTATATAAAGCGAAAAGTTTTCTATTGACAGCTGATGCCAATTAAAAGTATTTTTAAAAAAAATCTATCACCTGTAGAAAATATAAAAATGTAGAACTAAGATCAAACTGAAAGAAAGATGAAAGATGATAGGTATTGACAATAAAGTAGTCATATGAAAACTCTCAGAGATAGCAATTGTAAAATATGAAACATTATTAAAAATATATTAATATATATTATATATTATTAAAATAAATAACATATAAAGATATACAATACATTATATATTGATATGTATATGTATTATAAATATGTAAAAAAAATATATATATATATTTAATGGCACTGGAACACATTTAAAAGAGGAAAGAAACCAGAGGAGAGTTTACTTTTGAAAAATTGCAGCTGGAATTAGTAAGGATTGTGAGTTTATGTCTTTCTAGCCTAAGAGTGCTCCTCTACCTCCACAGCTGTGGCAGAATTAAATAGCTGTGGAAAATTGCAGCTCTACTGATTCAGTGTGTGAGAGAACAGATTTCAGAGATGAGAGCCACTGGAAATTTAAAGGGAAAACCCTGAAAGTGAGAGAACTGTGAAAGTGGTAAAACCTCAAATCTGATGATTAATTTTACACATACTTGGCTGACTGTTAAAATATGCATGGCCCAGAAATACCCCATGGGGCAAAAAAGGTTGGGTGAGACCCTTAAAAAACACAGGGGAACCAGGAGAGCCCTGTGAGTTTGAGACTGGGACTGCAACTGGAAATAAAAGAGGAATCTTAAGAAACAAGGAAATTACAGATAGCTTGTACTCTGAAATCTAAGTGCTATCTCTACCTAATCCTTGGCTGAATGTCACACTACATCAGGGAATCAGGCTAAAAATTCAGCAGTTGGAAGCCATATGAATTGACCAGAGATAGCTGTGGCACACTGTAGGGGAGATAAAGCTTACAGTTTGTGCCCAGGTTACTTAACTCCCTACTAGACAAAAAAAAAAAAAAAATCCAGAAGGACAGCTAAATACAGGCATTATATCATTGTATCTATAATGTTTAACTTATTAACCAAAAATTGACTACACATTCAGAGAATTAGGAAAATGTGAACTATATTTAAGAAAATATGCAGTTAAGGGAAAATGACTCTGAAAAGTCCAAGATATATTTAGCAGATAAAGACTTCACAATAGTTATTTTGAATATATTAGGAGCATTAAAGGAAATTATGCTCAAATAATTTAAGGAAAAATTATCTTAGTGAGTGAGCAGCTAGAGAATCCCAACAGATATATGTTAAATAGAAAAAAAAATAAAGTCTTGAAGTGAAAAGTACAACAAATGAAATAAAACAAAAGCAGAAGAATCAATGAACTTGACCAAAAGCAGAATAATCCAATGAACTTGATCAATAGAACAATAAGAACATATAATCTATGGACCAGAGCGGAAAAGAGTTGAAGAAAAATAACAAAACCTTAGACAACTGAGAGGAGATATTAAGTACCCAATGTAGGTGTAATTGGATTTCAAGATAAACAAAAGAGAAAGTAGCTGGCAGAAAATATATCTGCAGGAATAATGCTGATTATTTTCCAAATTTGAAGGAAAACATTACTTACAGATCCAAGATGCTCAGCATTATAACTACAAGCAGATAGACAAAAACCCACTTTTATACACAGATCAATACCCCCCCAAGTCCCAAGATAAAAAGAAAACTTAATTTGAGCCTAAAAAAAGACACATTAGGTACAGGATACAATGATACAAAATATAGCTGACCTATAACCAATAATGAAGGTCAGTTGACTTTGAAATGACAAACTAAAAGTGCTGAAAGAAAAAAAGTCAAGCATCAAGATATCTATACTCAAAGATATTATTCTTTAATATGGAAGCAAATAAAGTCTCAGTTAAGCAAAAGCTGAGACAATATGTCAAAGTAAGCTTGCACTACAGAAAATTCTAAGAATTTAAAATGTTTTAGGCTTAAGCACTAATGCAGTAGATGATCAGTCTGGTCGACAAGAGGATGAACACAGGAATTGGTAAATATGTGGGTGAATATAAATAATTACATGTATGCTTTTTCTTTTCTGCTCTTAATTTTACTAACTACATTGTATACATGCACAGATATGTAAATACATACACTTATTCACTATGCATTCATATATGCATAATACATATATGTGCATATAAATATGTATTTACATGTATATATATGTACAAATATACACATATGGATAGTTATGTTTGGTTTATGGATGCATATGTATATCTTTGTGTGTGTGTATCTACATACCTCCATCTATACAATAAAAATAACAGCACTAAATATGGAAGGGTACAATGAAATAAGCTGTTGCAATGTTTCTACAATTTACCTGAAGAAAATCAGTATTAACTTTAAGTAGAATATAGTATTTTAAAGATATTTACTGTAGGGGGGCGGAGCAAGATGGCAGAGGAATAGGAGACCTGGACTTCGTCTGGTCTCAGGAATTCAGCTGAATAGGGATCAAACCATTCTGAACACCTACAAACTCAACAGGAGATCAAAGAAAAGAATAGCAACAACTCTCTGAACAGAAAAGCGACCACTTACTGGAAGGTAGGACGTGCAGAGAAGTGAATCTGAAGTGATATTCGGGAGGATAAACAGTGGGGGAGGGGGCCTCCATCGGCCGTTACCAGCAAGAAGTTGGCTCTGCTGAGGGATGTCGCTCCAGTGGCTAAGCGGGGGTGGAACCCTCGTAGGACAGTGCGGTCTCAGGACCCTCGGGGTCACAGAAAGACCGGGGGAGCCTGAGTGCAGCAGAGCTCCCAGGTATCGGAGCAGGGAAGCTGGCTGCGGAGACAGAGCCAAGGCGCAGGCTCTCAGCTCGGGGTTGCCATAAACCGTGATCCGCGGCACAGTCAGGCCACTGCTCCTCCAGCAGGGACCCAACAAGCGGCAGATCTGGGGAGACTCCCCTCCCTCCCCGGGAGGAGCCGCGCAGGAGCGCACCACAGGGATCTGCTGGGTTTGGAGACTCCACACGGGGTCGGGTGCCAGAGATAGAAACGCTTGGTCACAGGCCGGGTGAGCATGGAGTGCGGCCGGAGACTGGGGAGATGGGAGTGACTGACTGCTTTCCTCTGGGGGCTCACTGAGGAGTGGGACCCCAATTTCTCGGCTGCTCCAGGGCGGAGACTGGGAGGCCACCATTTTCACTCTCATCCTCCAAAGCTGTACCGGAAGCTTGCAGGGAACAAAAGCTCCTGAAAGCAAACCAGAGCAGATTACTTAGCCCAGACCGACAAGGGCGGGGCAATTCCGCCTCCGGCAAAGACATTTGGGAAACACGGCAACAGACCCTCTCCCAGAAGATCAGCATGAACAGCCAGCCAAGACCAAGTTTACCCATCAATGAGAATGGGAGAACTCCAGCGCTAGGGGAATACTGCACATAGAATCCATGGCTTTTTTACCATGATTCTTTAGTCTTTCAAAGGTAATTTTTTTAACTCTTTTTTTTGAAATTTTCTTTTTCCCTTTTTCAACCAACATCTTATCAATCCGTTTTTAAAAAAACATTTTTATTTTTCATTTTTAGAGTCATATTCTATCCCTTCATAGTAGTTACCCTTATTTTTGGCATATATATATAAGTTGTT